ATGTTCACCGTAAAATGCGAGATATAGAACGTAATAATTAGTTTAGTGTTTAGGGTTGAATAATTTGTCATGTGCTTGACCGTTTGATTTCCAGTTGGAACTTAGTGTCAGTTGCATTCTATTCGAAGAGCTGACCGTAATTTTACCAACTTTTAGGCTTCATAAAGCATCCATCTAAGCCCACCTTACTTTCATTGATTAGGGATAAACGATCTCTGATTTTGTTTTCCATCTAGTTTAGGAAATTTGAGGGGGTTACATCTGTATTTTTTCAGCTTTGTCTTCAATTTCTTAAAGATTCCCATCACAGCATTTCGAACAAACACAGTTTGGCGAAACAATTGTTTCTCAGTAATTCCTTCTCAAGCCGTTTACAGATCACATAGGTAACATTAGAAAACAGATCACACAGTGAGACATCCCCAATCATGAGTAAGAGTTTGTCATAGTCAACTGGTATTTGTCATTTGATTGGTTACGGCATCAGGGTAACCGGATGGCGGACACACTCGGGACCGATTGATCACAGGCCATGGAAGTTGGAGTAACTGAGCCAAACGCTTTTGGGCGCAGAGGTCAGGGGTCAACTTTCCCGATCGCTTCGGCTATTGCTGGAGTGCGCAGTTGAACACCCTTGCACTTGGTGTGCGGGACACGATAAACAACTCTGAAGGCGACGTCCGGATTTACTTGATGTCCGGTGTCGACTAAATGGGCTAGAATGGAGCTGTTTATTGATCCGGTCTATCCTAGTCTTAACCAGCATGCGTGATGCTCTTTGATCCAGGTAGATAGCTGTCGTGCCGTTCCACCAACATAATTGTTTCGCCAAACTGTGTTTGTCTTCAATTGTTGTCGGATAAGAGCGTTTAATTTTAAACAATCATCGACCATGCACTTTTGCTGTCTTCTGGTCGCCTTTTTGAATGAAGGGGTAAAAACAAGACTTCAAGTGCCGAAAGCAGTACCAAATTGAGAATGGGGAATTCAATTAGAATAAATTCGCAGTAGAATTGAGTAAATGCATAAGTGCCACTAGTTACTACTTGTAACCATATCACTCAATATATCAAACCATATACACATTGGATTACTTATAAGGATCTTATGGGATCTACATGACCTAGCATCTGTGTCCTCGTAAAAACATACTAAGTCTTAGTTTGAGCACTCTTTGCTCTTGTTCAACACTCGCCTGATTCGGAAAATATCGCAGACCACATAGTATGCGCAACATATATCCCAAACAACATAATATAACAGAGTTCGAGAAATTGCTTCAGTGGGTGGGCGCGAATGCCCACATATTTTTGCCTAACCGCCGCATTACTTGTACGATTGTCTCACTAAACTCGTACAATCTGGTGTAGACCACCGCGTCCAAACACCAGTAATCTAGCTTTTGTAATATTCCAGTGACTTCCAGTCGCTGCACTAGGTAGCAGCACCGACCAAACTACTGTGGCATACAACGAAACATGCATAGGCGACGGCGCCATAAATGTCTCGAATAGACAGATCCCGACGCTTCATCTTTGATGTATCTGCCAGGTGAAACAGAGCTACCCAAAAAATCAACTATCCCCAATTTCACTTTTATTTACCCAACTAGAGTACATTTAGAATTTGGGCCAAATCAGACATTTGAAGTTGAAAAAAGCATACCAAACATAGTATAGTATTAACGCTTACAAGAGTCAGAGAAACGTACAATCTTGAGTTAGCACTACGATTTCATCTGGATACTCTAAATCAGTCAATTTATTATCTGAGAGCAAGTGGTTTCCGCTATTTTGCACCAAGTCTGGGCTGTTTTCAGAATTATATTAATCGCAAATTTGATTGGGAACACAGAGGTGATAACCCTGATGAATGTCGGTTCACGTGAAGAACTCGGTAGAAACAGAACCATAAGCTGATAGAAGAAATTAAAGGTGTGGGAATATCTTTATCACATCTATGGCTCTCCAACTTTTTGCAACTTAATTGTGCGTTAGAACTAAACATATAATCACGTGCTTGAATTCTGTTGCCGTCAATTTGCATAACGAGAATTTGGACGGTATGTAGTTCATTTTTTCTATCACCCTCATTCACGTTGCATCATTCACAACTGATTTAGAAAATGTTTTATTCACATCGGTAAAATACAATCGTATTATCTAGAGTTGAAACTGATAGTTTATGATGCTCCGGATGTCATTAAAATAGCATGTAAATACTTTTAAGAAGCCTTCTAATCGCATCAGATTAGATCAGATCAGATCACCAATAGTGCCCACGGCCGAATGAACGTCTAAACTGCCTTCCGTAATGTGCACCCACAGATGTGATTAGAAAATTTCGTTCATAAACAAAGTGTTGTGGAAGAAGAGGAGAAGCAGCTGTTTGACTGAATATCTGGGGCAGCTGATGAGCAAGATCTGTTCGGTCTACTCTCGATGTGAAGCCATGATCATGTTCAGCAAACTCTTTATTTTTGCGACCATTAATTGCTTTGCATAGGGTTGGAGCACAACCGCTAGTTTTGTTTTTTGAAAATGCCGTGCAAAATCTTTTGATTACTTACAGAAATTACTTGGCAAAACCTTCATGATTTGTTGTTGTGAAAATGTGTGATCTGTGTCCGTTGTAAATTTAACGAAATGGGTAAGCGTTTTCTCATCAGCCGTTTCCCAAGGCAGTGAACAGCAATTGTCACCGATTGGTTCCGAATCAGTATAAACTGTAGGTAATAGAACTATTTTAAAATGTTTCTAAAAGGGTTTGGTTTCTGATTGTGCTAGAGAAGTGAATTCGATCGTCAGGAATATTTTAACGAAAAAGAAAACTGGTTTATTATTTTCACATGCAAAACGAGAATGAAGCAACTAATTGCGCGTAGAGTCCGGCTGCTAAAAGTTGAGATTCCAGCGTACGAGACCTCCGGTTTCGTGGTGAGAGCACTCTTGTGATACACTGAATGCATGCTCTTACAATTATGCAAATTAGAACCTGAAGAACAACAATAGCAACACTTCAATGTGAATGGCATGCTTGGCAACCGTGTACCTTTCTAAAATTCGTACTGTATTAGTACATTTTTGTTAGGATCTAACAATGTGTCTAACTACAGCTACTTCGCTCACCTGTTGGGTTAATTTTTGAGTCAACTGCTTGGTATACAAGCACCCACTTCGAGGGCTTATTGTGTGAAATGTTTGGGAATCAGAAGTTGCATGTTTTTCCGTGAAACGGCAATGTTTTGACGCCGTAAAAGCTTGCAAAAATAATGGTGATAAATAAAAAATTAATACTGGGAGCGATAGACGGCAATTACTCCTTGTAACTTCACAAGTTTGAACGTCAACAAATGATTTCGTGCATCCATATACGATTTTGTGTGAAAATGATTACTCTCCAATTTGGGAGGGGCAGGGGACCCTGATTGATGACAAAATCGCTCTACACTCGAGCCAAACAGCGTGGGAGAAAGCTTAGTGAAACCCACTCTGCGATTGATTTCTGATCACAGGACAGTAAACAGAATGCTTCACCGATTCGTTGAACAACATTCGGAAACAGAATGCGATATAGACAAAGTCCGTATGGTTGATTCTTGTATATTTAGGTCACTACCATACCACTGACTGAATCCGGATCGGTGGATCTTATAACAAAATGCGTTCAATGTTGGTTTATTCCACTATTATGCAAGTAATCGCGGACCTTGGATCTTAATTCCATCCGTGGATGAATTCAACTGAAAAGCCCAATGGTTATTGATAAAAGTAGATAGTTTGAATCAAATAATCAAATTACAAATCATACGACTATATACATGTTCGAGGACAGAACTGTGAGCAACGTTTACCATATAATTCTCATAAAACTCAGACCAATAGTCGTTTCATGCCAGCTGAACACAGGTGGTTGGTTGTTTTGCACACCATCTACTAGTCTCTTGTTGGATTGGTCATCTATCAACCCCAATTTTATTTTTGGCCTCCCTTTTTTGCAGCACTCCGGGGAATAGGCTTTCGGGGCTCGAATAACACACGTATCAGTTGAAGCAGTCACTGTACGTCATCATCTATGCATTAGTCCAGCGCAGATCTACTATATTTGTTATAAATTATGACAGACAATTAACGGACCGTCAAATACCTTGTCAGCGCGTGTTTGATGAGAATACATTTGGGGGTGAGTATCAGATTGCATATAGAGTTTCAACAGCCGAAACTACAACCGGGTCTATTAATTAACAGTAGTTCCTCTAGATAGGTTAGTCAAAAATCCCTTATTTGCAAACCAACCAGGAAGAGGCGTATACATCAGAGCTAAATCCTTTTTGTTTGTCCAACTGCTTATCAGCTTGATTAGGTTTCGAACTGTATTAGTCACCTCGAACGTATGACACTGTCTTCAAGGGGGACAATGAACTACTCCCAGTAGTTTTCAGCTTTCACTTACCGCTCCATCGCCTGGAGGGTCCGGATTTGGCTAATCAGGGAATCCCGCTATGAATAACCCAGGAGGGTTACCTGGTTAGTCAGTACTCCACTCCCGAGCACATAGAAGGCTGATTTGTTGTAAAGTTGTTTGGCGCACAGTCCGGGCGGTGGTGACCCGGTGGTAACGTCACCAAATTATCACCCCGGGGTTGTGTTCGAATCCTACCACTACCGCCTGACCTTCTCCATTTATGTGTTTTATGGCAGCCCTTTAATTGGCCGCTTCCCCCTTCCTGAAAATTGTATCATTGTGTATGCAATAAAAGGAAGTAAAATGAAAAAGAAAAAGAAGCGTTTATCCTGAATAGCAGAGTCAATCACCATGCGGTCGTGTTTAAGTCACATTATATTCCGCACATGATGCAGCCAAAGATTATTTGGCCGATGTCAGATTGGAGCCATGCTAAATGCAGAACTCTGATGAAGTCGATCAAAGTTTTCCATTCAAAAGCATTTCATTTACTGACGCTGTCATTTTCATGCATAACATTTAGGAATCACGAAACAATGTCCCCGTCGGATAAAACCAAAACGGCCGGTGTACTAGTTCACGGATCTATTCATCACTTCACTCGCAAAGCTGGCAGACTGGTAAAATGTAGAAGATGGGCTTATGTGAATCAAGACAGTCTATTGATTTTCCCCGGTAAGCGTGAACCATTCCCGGCACAACAAAACTTATTTTGAAAAATTATCCAGATGCATACACATCCAGTCATTGTTATCGGCTACTTCTGACCGGTGCTGATGTGAACATCTCATATGAGGACGAAGACAATCCACTGATTGCGGTACGGTTGTTCTTTCAATTGTTTTCTTACAAATTTTGGTTAGATCACTGAACCGGATAACACAATCACTTATTTGATTCAACCGGAAAAGCCGTATAAATTTCAAAAGTGGCTTAGTGCAATTTACAAAGCCTCGCGCAGTCCGTCTGAAGGGTAAGTGACTTTTTCCTCCGCAACTCATGGGAGCTATCACATTCCAGATTGAACACAAACAGTAATCTGACTAGCGGTGGTCAGGCATCGTTATTTTCGGCAAATGGTACATTGCCTGTGCCCTCGGACGTGCCCGATTTTACCGTGATCCCGAAACAACGAACTCACCAGTTATCAATGTCACATGTGAGTCAAATGACTAATAATCCCCTTCTTCATTTAAGAAAAAATGATCTCGTATTAACTAAAAGCTTGAAGTGGTTCAAAATTAAGAAAGCTTGTTGAATATTAAATATCCCGAATGATTTTTTAAATTGCTTTTCTCGGTTGTAATAGTTTGAACATATGTTTCAAGCCGAGCCAGTACCGCTGTATGCACCTGAATGGGTAAATTTTCAATGTATATAATCGGGAAAAATAAAGTCAAAATAAATCTGGCTGCTGCTCCTTCAATAAAACAAGCAATTACATACATCTTTGGAAACTTCCTGCTCACCAGTAAGTACACGTGTGAGTTATGGCAAGACGGGATCATGAGATGTAGAAATACGAGAAAATAAAAGTTTTAACTATGAGCTTGTGCATAAAGCTTCTGGAAAACTCGTCAGATGAAAGTAATAAATCAATTGCTCTATTAGTGTCTTCCTCAAATGAACTCAGGAGACTAAAACCTGGTGCAGAATCCCAGCACCAAGAAGAAACGAATAACTCTCACCAGTAATCATATCACTTCCGAAGAGACATGTAGCATTCTCAATTGATTCGATCCCTGATTGTCCCTCAAAAAACAACACATCTGACTCCAAACAAGTGCATTTGATAGATACCCCCGACACATAGAGGTCGCTTGAGTTTTATTTACCTAGTCAGTTGCAGGTAGAGCCCAAACACATTGAACAGACCATTAGGTAACTGAGATACACACGTGTGATCGAACAGGCACGAGAAACATCCACCGAAATAGACCGACGAATTGAAACCTCTTGAACGTGATTAGGCTATGGCTCTACATTCAATCCACGAAAGTCACATGCTCATTGCCTATTCGTTCTAATGCAGAGTTTCCTATCCTACAAACAACAGCCCGGCAGTGAAATTTATGAATGCGGACCTTAATTGTGTGAAGCTTTCCGACTAACCTGCGCGAGTGAATTATTGTCCCACATTCATCAAGGTTTGTTTGACCTCCTCTGCATCGAACCCAATTACAATCTTCAATTGTTCCAACACGTTCACTGCCACTGACTTGTTTCTGCACTTCTGATCGAACAACCAAAGGAATCTCATTGACCAGAAATGGTAGCCTCTATCATCTAGCCACTGATATACTGATTGTAGTTGAATGCAAAAAGGTCTTCTCATAAGTCTGAAAGGTTGTCACAATTAGAGCTGTTAAAGATTGAATGTGAAATCTGTGAAAGAGCACTAGGCAACTGTTTCGTTCTTGCGGGGGTCGTCAGCAGTGCCTACGGGGACTGAAACCAGGACCGTTTGGGTAGGGACTCGAATTCCGTACTCCTGAGCTACACGGTCGATGGCTAACACTTGATTGTACATTTATATGGACTGAGAATTTCTTAGATTGTAACTGGCTAGAGAACAACCTTTAATACACTTGACATATGGTCATGATTACTTCGTGTTTGTTTTTATCCATCTTGTTTATTACAAAATAAAATCACCGAAAATATGACATTGTTAAGACATCCTATTCTTGCAGTATTGTCAGGAAATCTGGTTAGCTCCTCTTTCAAAGCATTTACCATCAATCAGTTTGTATATCTCTCTTTTACTTCCAACGAACGTGTTGAAACAAATCACTAACTTCTACAAATCGATGATTTGAAGTACGTGTGTGTGTGTGTGTAAAATACTGATCCGATTAACATATAGTTATTGACTGGAAATTCAGATAGGAATTCCATTTCGAAGCATCAGATGAATATGAAATAGCTATCATTCTTGAGAGTATCAAGGGATTAAATACTTTGTATTCTTCTACTATTTGTTTGTGATAGCTGCTGCAAATTAGAAGGTGACAGTCTGCTAAAACTCATTTAATCATACCAACGTGCACTTTGTGATCAGTGTTGTTGCAGTCCCCGCTGATGTGTCATATCCCCACAAAAAAACCTCTGTTCGATTAGAGTAAGTTTGAGTTGTCAGGTTGTAAATAATTACCTCAAAGATATTCACATCTAGAGAATCGAGAGGGATTTCAAAGAAAACTGGTGAAGAGAAGCGAATAATTGTGTTCTGTCGTACTGGCGTATCATTCTGTATCATGGGTTGCAACTCAGTTCCGATACGGGAATCACGGACCTGAAATTTGCCGGTGAAATTGTCGTCCTCGAAGACCTTCCCGAAATCATCCAATCGACCCTTCATCATAGGACAAAAACTAAACTCTTTTTGACAGCCGTACACCCCTCAGCACACCTCATTCAGGTTGATGACCGACTACCACAAATCGTAAACATATTCTTATACTTGGTGAGTCGGTTTTCAATGAAAAATTTGAACGACGGTGCAATGGAACTGTTGCGCCGCTGCCTTCAATGGTTCATCCAGTCGTGTTCTCCGATATCCCAAGAACACCGCTTCAAAAACAGTAGCTCCTACCAGCAGGGCGTCCAATTTTCTGCTGTTACTTGGACGGTAAGCCTAGGACTTGGGTTGACACGTTAAGGGATTAGGTCCTCGAAAAATCTATGATCTCTTAGTAATACATATAGTCACATATGCCATCCGTCACACTGAACGTCTTTAGCAGGATAAGGTTGTTCACAGACAGCATAGAGAGCGGATATTTCATAGTTGAACTTCACTTGTTCCATTTTCTCTGCGTTTGAGTGAACGTACAATATAGGACTTAGGGAAATTCGAGTAAACGCTTATGCGAGATCGCACCTGTCGAAATTCAAATCGTTTGGAGGAACTTAGATGCTAACGTGTCAATTCAGCGTGTAATGTGAGGTTAAGGTCTACGAGAGTAATTTTCTTAAAGTTGTTGCAAGAATTTGTCGTATAATAATCTGAATGCTTCACAACCACAGAAATTGAAGAAACGCAGTTAATATGTGTTGAATTGCGAAGTAAGACTTTCAAATCTTGTTTACTTAACTGGAGAACAAAAAAGCGAAAATACGTAAGTGGCAATAACGGACTGAGAAGCATGAACATGCTTGGGCTTTCAAAGTTGAAGGGATAGGCACCGCGCTTTACCCAAACAGTTGTGGATTTGGGTTGATCAGCGACCATTGTTACAATAAGATATTTGACTAAGTGCATCCTAGATAAAGAATTGCCAGCTATCAATGTATGGTCTATCTGGAATAGAGGGCGTGAAAAAACTATATAAAACATTCAATGTACTTGCTAGTATTTAAACTTAGCCCCAAATAGGCGGAGAACTGAAGTTGAGAAAGAATAACGGTGAAGGAATTTAGGTTAAAGGAAGAAGAGGTGGTTTGGTAGAGCAGAATATCATCAATATATTTTAAAACACGTGCGGGAGAAACACAAGGCGTGATATCCAATACGTTTTGATAAATTTTTTTCAACTCCGAGAGTTCTGAACTGACGGGAAAGTTCCGGTTACATACCTCCGATCATCCGTGTCAAAAGTATCTACCCACGGATTCATCTCTGTATGGCTCGTACCATCACAACTCTCTTAAGATAGGTTCAACTTAAAAATATCAAAAGGCGTATTTTCATGCTCAGAATTGAAAAATCCCAGCTTTTTATGAGCTAATTCTGTAGCAATGAAAAATGACATTCCTACATTGATTCTAGGCCAGTTGTTAATCAATTATTCATTAAAGCTATTTACAATTGTTTTCCATTTGTTCTTCAGAGAAACCACGTGGACCAGACCAATCCGACTCGTAAGTCTGAATGTTTTACTCACATTCCCGTTTGTTTTGTTTTGAAATTAATTGACATTTTGCGATGAAAATAGAACCGGACGATCATTCGATTCAAGCAAACACCGTTAGGTATCGTATACTCGACTGAATGGGTATGATTTGGTTTGAGACGATTGTAGTTTTCCAACTCTGATGACCGGATTCATTCGACGGCACCGATCCTAATATCCCTCCTTTTTAACAGATTACACACCTCGGTTAAAAGTATAACACCATGGATTGTTGTGAGGGAAATGCATGGCTTTAGTCTTTTGGAAATGCAATTTCGGTGAAGTTCAAGGCTGATTGAATGTCGTTTTGGAGTTCAGATGTTACTTACCTCGGCAAGTTCTCTGAAAACTTTCCCTTGTATTCGTAACTAGTAGTAACAACATGCTTAAGTTAAACGTTCAAAACAGCGCACTGCATATATCACCACTGTTAGAGCTCGCGTATTCGTGGCTGTTTTTCCAAGTCGTCTCTATACATCTAATCCTGAAAACTTAATCAGTCAGACGGATATCTTCGAATATGAAGCATGAAAGCTTTATAATCGGTTTGATTTGATGAAAGCTTCCGAGGATTGGATGAACTCGACTAACGGGCAGGATAAGTCCTGTGTCGGGCGCACTATTAGCAAACAACGGAAACAGCATACCTCGTTCCTTGGGGTTCTGTCAGGACGGATTGATCTGCATTCGTGCCGATGGCATTAAGCAAGAGGGTGGAAAACAACGTCATTCGTACTTGCAGTCATGTAATCGAGTGTCTGATACGATTCGCCGTTGATTGCTCAACCGAATAGAAGCATGACAGCTATTTTTGATCAACGCCTTTACCGTGCACGATGCTTTCCTCTCCAACTGTCAGACTCTATGGAAAAGTTACTGATAAAAGTAATTTTGGTACAGTAAATTATGTTCTTTTTAATGTTTATCAAGGATGCACGGAGGATATTGCTTTTTCCGAGAGCCATTACCTCTGAACTATTATGGGAGTCGAATAACCTAACTGAATTCACACAATGAGCGGTATGTGTGTGCGCGTGGTTAAACGTGCGATCTTGTAGAATTGTTTGGGGTTGTACAATCAGTAGAGCAGTCAACTTTTGAGTTGTGCATCGGTGTGTTGCGCACATTCCCAAACAGAGATTCATCCACATTGTATTGTATTGTATTGCGTTGTATTGATGCTTCGGCGAGTCTCAGTCAAAAAGAGACCATCATCACAATACTGGCAAAAAAAGGAGAAAAAGTAGGACACCAAGCGTAAAAAATGTGAATGGACTAATAAATACACTAGAAAGCTCAGAACGAACACTCTCCTTGTCGATCACTATCGGGGAAAGACAGGGTACTAAAACGTTTCTGTAGACAGATATCCGATATGGAATGAGTTTGTCTTTGGAACGAGTGAACGGGTGGGATTTGCATGCACATAACTCAGTTTGTAAGGGATGGGCGCAATCAGATAGGATACTGTAAGCAAAGTTCAAGCACGCATCAATATGAGCACCACAGACAGATATTGCGAATCAGAATAGATAAAGGAATTTGATAAATACGGCGCATCATTGAGAGGACACGTCTCAGCAGCCTGATATCGGCCTTCAGCAAACAAGGGAACAGTAAAGGGGTATAAGGAGAACACATTACTGAACAAAAGCTCCTATTCCTATCAAATCAGAACAGAAGTTACGCAGTCTTATTACCTGAAAACTTTCAGCCTGCGAGCAATATTTTGGGTGGTTAAAGACCAGCGAAGAGTACTTTCAGTTGTGACAACTAAGTACTTCACATGGCTGCCCTTGCTCATCGGCTTTCCCTGAGTATGTAAATTGTGTGTTTACCGCTGAGGTATATGACTGGAAGAAACGACCAACCATGAGGTTGGTTATCAGGTGTACATAGATTTTACTGATACAATTCAGTTATGTAGATCCAGTGGTCTGGTATTTTTAAAACTTGCTGTGGTTCTCGCCTGAAATATTAAAAGCAAAGGAACTTGGTATTTTCCACGATTACGACAAGATATATTGTGTCTTATGACAGCGTTTGATGAAGTACGCAGACCGAAATAACTGCTTCTCTTACTGGACAGTTTCTTGTCTCCACGGTAGATAAGGAGGGGTCCATAGTTATTGTTTAACAACACATATCAGACAATCGTAAGAACTGAAGTGACAGACTAAGTTTGGGGCGCTACCAAACTGGGTGGAAGCTGAACTGATAGCAGAATTTCGACCAAATATAAGGAAAACGGAAATGGAATGGGACAGTAAATGGGTTAAAATGTACCTCAATCAGTAAGCAATCAATGCGCGTTTGAAGAATCATTGAATGCCTGTCCAAACTGGATGGATGACACGTCAAATTGTCCCAATCTTACTCATTGAGGCCCTCCCGTCATCCCACGGATCATGTGATCTATCGTGGAATTTCGTTTTCTCTGTATAAAACTGTAGAAAGTGGAACCAATTGTTTCTGGTACCGATCAATTTACCTCATAAAACCATGTTGATCGGTTGGTGGCGTCCTGACTCAAACGTTTAAACACTAAGGACGCAGCAGTGCCGTTGATAAGTCTCAGCTGAACCGGAGTCTCGGTCACAATCCAGCAGATGTTCTTCAAACACTTTTTTGCATTTTAGAGTAGCAACCTTGGATTAGCCCATTCATTTGTTAAGAGGCACCAAGCGCTCTTGGGTGTGGGTTTCACTCCTTGTATCAGTCCTTTGTTTTAGGCTAGAAAGGAAAACGACATTGTTTTCACACACAGACCGGAAGTTTATTTTATTTCATTGAAATCTAAGTCAAATGTTGTATGACCTTTTGAAAATCAAAGTCATATGGAGCAAGTTATCAATCGTTCGTCCTATTGATGGACGTCACTGTTTCCATGCAGTTCTGTGAAGGCTACTGAGGACGGCTTGAACATTTGTCGAAGTTTAGCACAATGAAATTCTTTCTCAAATACATTGTGAATTTTCGCACGCATATGAAATATGAAAAGCAAGTATGAGATTCTTTTTTTCCAGGCTGTGGCTCTATTTGAGACACAAACTGTTTGTCCTCGAATTCGGAACAACCATATGTCATAATGNATTGTTCGGGGCTCAAATTCAAATTTTTATTATTGAAAAAATCTTACAAAGACTTCACTTATCAAATCCCATAGGGTGTTTACACTTTGGTTCGGAACACGATTCACTAGATCACAGTTGGTCCATGAAAGTAAAATAGTAATGTAATGCTTTTGACGAGCACAACAGAATATATTATGTAGTTGGGTGTTGAAACATAATGCTTGCCAGAGTATCATCAAGCTAGTGCTTGAAAAATACCAAAGTTGGCGCACAGACCCCGTGAGGTGATAGAGAGTCCCATGTGCTGCACACTCTGACTGCAAACGATTGGCGTCTGCAGTCGATACGGCTCTTTTGGAGTGCCAACTTCAGTGGATGCCCTCTGAGATGAATGTTGTTCGATAGAACCAAAAGAGATCTACATGGAAGGTTGGGCTATTGGNTATTGAGACGAGTATAGCTCCAATAGCTGTAATCTTTCGCCATAGATTTTGGAATGTAGACCTTTGACCATCTTGCTAGTCATTCTCTGTGGATGTTCAAGTGCCTTCCGATCTCGCTACAGCCATGGGTTCCAGGCCTGAATACTCGGTGTATGGAAGGATATATGTGGCTAACAGACATGGAAACAAAGCCGGCTCAAACGATCCAAAAACACGTTTGAGCGGTCCAACCTGTTTTACCGCCATGTATGATGCCCTAAAACAGTTTGTGGAGTGACTCAGGTCTGCGCCAATGACTACTCCCAGATCCTTCTCGGATGGAGAATAAGACAGAGTTTCGTATCCAAGAGTGTAGGAAAAACGACCATTGTGGTGTAGTGATAAGGTTTTACATTTGGTAACGTTGAATTCCATATCATTGAAGACACACCATCTGTGGGCTTCGTCAAGGGCGTTCTGGAGATCAAATGAATCTACTGGTTTTGTTATCGTCCTCAATATTTTGGCATCGTCCGCAAACAGCAGAGCTTGTGATCCGGGGACGTCTGGAAGATCATTTAACAAAGACAAGAAAAAGACGAACCGAGAATGGCAATAGGATGTGCATTTCAATCCCTTTAATCTTGTGGAAATTCTGCAACTTATTGGTTCCATCTATTGCATAAACGATTGTGGGATCACGTCTTCAAGTAGGAGTCTGTAGCCATTTGAAGGATCCCGCAAGGAGAGAGGTGGTCACAACGGAAAGGGGATGAAAGCTGAGTTCACTCTCGTTGGGCATGAGATTCGAACAGACAACCAATGTGGTAGTGATCAATTGACCACATTGCAGCTGTATCGAGTCTGTATGGATCTGCTCAGTCTAAGGCTTAGGGACTAGAGAAGTGTGCTGGTATTTACCTCAAACCGAACCATTCTGCTATATGTTAAAAGATGATAGCTCGGTGTAAATCCTCCCCTCCTCCACCGTTGGCATTTGTTACCGTGTGTTCAACCACTACAAATTCAGTTCGTGGAACAATGATGATTTGGTTAATCAGTTCGGTGAGCTGGTTTAGTCTATCGAATTCACAAGCTAAGAAATTGTTCTCGGAGGAGAAAAACAGAGCAAGTGAAGTTTACCTGAGTGACACACGTAATTTGTATCAAAATTTTATTGCATGATTTAGTCAAACCTCAATATTGAGAGACACTTTACTCTAATCTCGAATACAATGATATCTGCCGGAGAGCTTGAAACTACCCCATGATAATAGAACAACAATAATTAGCTTCAACGTTTTATTGTGTTTGATGTGAATATTCCCATGTCCATTTTTTTCGTTTACTGATTGATTCAAACGTAACTCACCATACTCAAACAACCAGTACAGTCTCCATTGATTTGTTTCTTTCTGGTGATATTTTGAACGAGTTCAGAATCCGAACGGACTAAATCGATCAACCCACCGGCAGTTCCTAAACGCATTGCTTTACCGTGGGATTGCAAATCCCATCGAGGCCACAAGAACCACTCGAAAACGCAGAACAGTCAAATGGACAATCAGTGGACTCCAGTTCCACCGGCCCGTTCAACGAAACGGGTTCCGTTTAGTCAAGTAGACGGATCTGGTCAACAACCACCTCCCAGACCGCCACGTTCGGGAATACCATTGAAAACGGTGAAAGAGCATCCGGATATGCGAGACAGTGATATTGTGGTAAGTGGAAAATCAGTTATGTGAAATGTTGTTTTGCACATTCCAATACATTTTCGGGGTCACGCGTTTAGCAGTAGCTATTGTTCGAGAAAATCTGGGGTCGATGTGTCTGGAAATCTTTATAGCGATCGGGCGGTAGTGGCCCGGTGGTAGTCACTAGATTATCACCCCGGGGATGTGTGTTCGAATCCCACTACCACCGCCTAACTTTCCCCATTGTGTGTGTTGAATAGCAGCCCTTTGATTGGCCGCTTTCCCCTTCCTATAAATTTTATCATTGAACATTCAATAAAAGAAAGTGAAATGAAAAAGAAAAGAAAGTACTACATCGACCGAGCAAAATATTTCACTTATCTAATTACCGCAATCAAGTAAACTCATTAAAATTTATTCCAGATAGTCGATTTTATACATTGGTTGCTCGTGTCGCTGCTGTTTTCAAATCAGGTCTGTTGATTAATTTTTAAGGGTGGCATGATTGGTGGGAGGGGAATATTTACAGTAAATTGTCGCACTGTGTTCATCTTCGGATTGGATTTTGCTCCCAACCGATTGTAAACTACGCGGTTCTGTATTTAAACGCGATGGAAATGTTTGTGATGACCGACAAAGAGCACTGGACAGCTGTTTCATCCTGTTTCTGGACTCGTTATCAATGCACACTTTTTGTGTTCCTGTTAGAACTCGAACCGCGAACATTCCGGTCGAGACTTCAAACCCTTAATCCTGAGCTACACGGTCGACGGTCATCCCCTTGAACGAATGGCTCAATCAATTTACGCTATCAAGTTTGGATTAACCCATTCGATTTTCCCGAGGCACCAGGCACTCTTGATGGTCTTGGGTGTGGGTTTCACTCCTCAGGAGATCGTTAATTCCCCTTAGTAGTGAAATGCACACCCAGACGCACACACACATCAAGAGTGTCTGGTGCCTCGGGAAAATCGAATGGGCTAATCCAAACTTAATATCGTCTGATTCTGCATTCTCTTTGTGTCTTTATATTTTTTGGGGGGCGGGGTTGGGGAAGTTCAGCTCAATTAGTCCGTGGTGGCCAACTGGCTTAGCTGAACAATCGGTTAATCAGTTGTTATATATATATATATATATATTATGAACAAAGTATGAGAAATATCTCTTCATTAAACTAAAGTGCAATTTTTTGAGTCTATGACGACACGAGTTCCACTTTCCCGGTTTTCTGGGGTAGAGACGTAGCCGATATAATCGAAATCACTACGTCCTAATGGAGATGTGACATTGACAGACTCCACTATCAGCTCCTCGTTCGTCAGCGCTAAATTTAGTGTTGATGATACGTGAGCTGCTCCAAATCTGGTGGGTTTTGTTACGTGGTTGTATAACGGGTGCAAACCAACGAACTGTGATAATTGTCTCTCTAAGGGCTGGCTGAAATTCCTCGTTCTAATAAGATTGGAACAGTTAAAGTCACCCATTATGAGGACGTTGGTGAACTTTAATGATAATGCATTCCTTATGGCTTGGAAAAGAATCATGTTAGCTGAGTCTGAAAACGCTGGAGGTCGGTACACGACACAGCTTAGACACTTATAGTTTGGAGAGTCCGAGTGAACCATGTTGACGACCGACATGTTAGACTCCCAACTGCGATTACCGAGCATGAGCTATTAAGGCGTGATCGTCCAACGCGAGGTGGGTGCATGCTACTCTATTATCATAACGGCTTGTAATGCGAGTAAATTGAGTGCCCGTTCGCTGCTTCAGGTACGTTGTGATGTGAATTGAAGCAAACACAACATGATATCGGGCTGATCGGTGTGGTTTATCACCCTCCTTCGTCAGTAGATTCATCAAATGAGACTTTGTTGCAAACAATATCATTGAATTTCACTCACTTTCTAATTATGGGTGACCTCAACTGCCCAAAGCTGAGCTAAATGATGACCTCATGTACGCCGTTTGCACGACAATTCATCCAGTTCATCCAGTCACATCCATTGTACAATCATATGAAGGAACCCACCAGTTTTGGAAACCTGCAGTCACCATTCATACTAGATTCAGTGTTGACCAGAGAGGAGCTGACGGTAGAATCCGTCAGTGTGACTTCAGCCCTAAGACGCAGCGATCACACAGTGCTTACATTCAAATATGTTTGTTACGCTTCTATTCACGGAGGTTCCCCAGGTTACACGCGCAGATCCATAGACTATACATTGTTGAAAAACTTGGCGCTCTCTACTCAGTGGGTTTCCTATGATGAACAACTAATCCGTCGGTCGCCTGGCAGAAATTTACTGAAAATCTTACGAACCTAATGATTGATATCAGTGACTAAGACTACAGTAATCACCAAGTTCAGCATCCGAAATTCACCTATTCGAAGCAGAACAAGGCAATGGCTGTCTTTGAGGGATTTATCATGGCGAGATTATAAACGTCTTCCCAATGTTGTCACGAAGAATAATTGTTGTCTGCTGAGGAACCACTGCATCCGGCTGATTCGTGAGGATAAACTGAAATACCAAGAGGCGCTAGCACAGAGATTCATTTCTAACCCGTAAGTTGTTGTATAATCACGTTAACTGAATTCGGAGAGTAAAGTTTGGGATACCGGCACTAAGCAGCACTGGAAGAGTTGCAGCCACTCCCGCGGAAGCAGCTGAAATTCTGAAAACTCAGTATTCCAAAGTTTTCGCAGGTTGAAGGTCCACAGCTACCTCCCGATTGCATCATCTTCAATATCTTTCACTGACCTACGTATCATTTACTGCTGAAAAAGTCAAAGCAAAACTAATGGTTTTTCGAAAAAACGCATCACCAGGTGCCGACAATATGCACTCGAAATCCCTGATCTTTTTGGCGGATCACATATCCGAACCGCTAACCAGTCTGTTCCAGAGAATGTTTGACCAAGGAAAACTCCCAGGATCTGGGGAACCAGGAGTTATTTCACCCATATACAAAGGTAGTTGTCGTAGTGAACCCGCTAACTACCGGCCTGTCACCCTGTTTCCAGGGTTATCGAAAGTCATGGAGTCGATTGTCGTAAATTCTCTGATGGAACACCTCAAAAGATACATNAAGATACATTGTTTCGACAGTTCAACACGGGTTCAGGAAAAAGTGGTCCTGCTCCACCAACCTACTTCTTTTTCGAGATGAATGGACCAGAACAGTCGACGAAGGGGATGCGGTGGATGTGATTTAGCTCGACTTCTCGAAAGCATTTAATCGGGTGAATCACCGAATCTTGTTACAGAAGCTCTACAATGACGGCATTCGAGATTTCGTGTTTGATTGGATTAGAGCCTTCCTCCAACAACGGACCATATCAGTTCGTGTTTCTGATTCCATATCCGGATCTATC